GTTCCAAACCAAAGGAGATCAGCAAGACATGCCAACTCAATGCGATCTGTGACTCTGAATTGGATTCTTTTGTTGTAAAGGGCACTTTTGGGATAGTTGCTGGGACTCAAATGAAGTCTGAGGATTAGATGGTAGGGATGTGTCTGTAGTAACTTATTGATTTTGATGGGGGGTGGGGGTGAAGGAGAAACCAGAGGAGGTTTCAGGGTTTTCAACTGCTAAGAATAGGGAGAGAAGAGTCATGCCTATAACCAGGAGGATTGCTCAGGTAGCCAGTTCAGAGTCTCAGAGTGAGGACAATCAAAATAACAAAAAGTTAGCATTACCTTGTAACTACTTAGCATTCTGCAGTTCTCAAATCTCATCATCTTTGTGGTGAAAAAAAATACCACTGAACACTCCCAAACAGGGAACCCCTCTCCAAAGCAGAGGCTAAAAATAAATACAGATGTGCTGGTTCTTTCCTGACATTTTTAGTCAAGAGCCCAAATTTAAAAATTAATCAAGCACTGGCCTTGCTCTCTTGCTTCTGTAGAACTTCTTAGGCAGTCACTGAGGGACTGGGCATGGATGTCTTGGGCCAGGCCCTCAGACTCTGCTGGTTTAGGAGGACATGATGCTATTCCTACAGCATGTCTTGTTGCATGAATGAGGTGAACAGGAGAGGCAGGTACAAGCCCATACTCATACCTTCCTGGTGGCTGCTGCAAGCAGTTGCTGTTGCAAAGAATTGTCTTGCACTCTGGGCTTCAGTCAAGATTAGAAACCTAAAGTTACAGTTTCTGAGATTGGAAACTGTCCTCATTCTCTGTCCTTAGACTTATCTTTGAACATCAGTCATCCCAGCTAAACTGGCATTACTCGAAGTCCCCACTGTAAACCAGAAGAGCAGGAACAAGTGGTATTGGGGCCCCTAAAGGCCCCGGGAGCTGCTTTTGATGTCCCTCAACTCTGTCCCTGTGGACTTGCTGCAGCAGGGTGGGCACAGTAGAGCTGAAGCCAGGCCCAGCTGCCCACCCCTTTAGAGCTGCTTCCTTGCTCCACAGCAAGGGAGTAGCTGCGGCCAGAGATGGTGTGAGCTGCGGAGTCGAGACGTTCACTGTACACCCTTCACAGCAAAGGCCAGCTCCAGCATCTAGAATGTCAACCCCATGACAACAGGGGCTGTGTCTTCCTTGCTGCATTGTCCCCAGAACAAGGAGTGGTGGATGCCTTACTGCCCTGCTTCTCTGGGATCTGTAAGAGGACTGACTCTTCAAGGCAAAGAGACTACCCAGCTCAGGTGGGAAATGTAAATAGCACTGGGACTGAGCTACTGGCCTGGAGTGCCGTCTGGCCAGGTGCTATGCAGAACTTTGTAGAGCAAATGTGCCCCTGACATTCCCAGGACTCAAGACTATGAGATCTGGCTACAGGAAGCTGTGGTCTCTTAGGAAATTTACTAATGTATAAAATGAAGAGGAAAGCTTGAGTCTGGGCGTAACGTGACTCCTGGAACACACATTTCTGAGCTTGGATGTCAGGAAGCCGATTGTGTCATGGTGAGCTTTGGGGAAGTCCTGGGGAAAGTGGCTGTTGGGGGTCCTCACACGGTGTGTGACTCAGAATTGAAAGGCACCAAGCCAGCTGGGTTCGGTGGCTCAGCCTGTAATCCCGAGCCTTTGGGAGTCTGAAGTGAGTGGATTGCCTGAGCCCACGGGTTCGAGACCTGCCTAGGCAAGTTGGTGAGACCTCATCTCTACAATAAATAAAAAATCAGCCAGGCATGGTAGCGCGTACCTGTAGTTCCAGCTACTTGGAAGGTAGATCGCCGGAGCCCAGCAGGTCGAGGCAGCAGTGACCGGAAGCAGCCACTGCACTCCAGTCTGGGTGACAGAGTGAGACTCCAACTCAAAAAAAAAAAAAAGAAAGGCACCAAGCCAGCAAGCTACTAAAGATCTTTGTAATGACCTGGGTTCAAATGTCAGCTTCTTGGTTTCATGGGCTTCCACACTGGCTTGCTCCCCCATCTGCAAGTCTTTTGAGGTGGTGTAGAGTACTGCTCTGTGGCTCGTTCTTTTTTCCCTCCCCCATTTTCCCAAGTTGGACACTAGCCTGCATGACCAGGACCACCCTTGACCCAGGAGAGAGGCTCACACAGGCCCTAGAAGCAGGCTTTAGGTCATTTGGACAGGGGATTTCAGAGCTCTGGGTTCAGTAGGCACGTCCCCTGGGACCTGTGGACTCTTTTTCCCTTGTGAGAATGACACCACCTGAGGAGAGCCAGGGTGGGGCTTGCAGGGAAGACTGGGTGGCCAGCCAAGCAATTTGATTTCTCTGGGACTTGGTTTCCTTATCTATTAAAATGATACAAATAATACAATTATACAAGGGCTTGGCTTTTGAATACTGAGCTATTTTCTAGCTCAAAGACTTTAAAACTTCTAGTACCTATGCTTTTTCCAACTTGACAGTCACCTTGGACAAGATGCAGAGCATTGTTTCCTTGTAAGTATTGGGAGTTGAGAATGGTTCATCTCAGGGACCCTGCTGGGGGACAGAATCCCCACATTTAGTAGCTCAAGCCTCCACTGGGCCAAGTTCTTCCGGTGCCTGCACCAGCCATCCCACAGAGTGATGCCTCTCCCTGCCTCCATGAGCCCCACAGCCTGCTGGCGCAGAGCTTCCTCCTCACAGACCGTGGTGAGGGTGCCCAGGGTGTCACAGACCCGGTGCTCCAAGCCCAGAGCATTGCTGATGGGCTGTCTGTCCTCTCCCCCTTCCCATCTTTTCAGGAGAGCTGCAGAGGCAAACACGAACAAGGCTCTCCGTGGGCTTTTTGCGCAGAGTAAAGGACATCTGTCTTGATCCCAGGTATTCCAAAATCTTGAGCTCCCTGAAGAACTGGAAGCTTGGAAAATCTGGCAGCAGCCGGGCTCGGTGGCTCAGCCTGTAATCCTGTGCCTTGGGAGGCTGAGGTGAGTGGATTGTCTGAGCCCATGGGTTCGAGACCCACCTGGGCAATTTGGTGAGACCTCATCTCTACAATAAATAAGAAAAATTAGCTGGGCGTGGTAGCGTGCACCTGTAGTTCCAGTTACTTGGAAGGCTGAGGCGGAAGGATCGCCGGAGCCCAGCAGGTCGAGGCTGCGGTGGTCGGGAGCGGCCATTGCACTCCAGTCTGGGCGACAGAGTGAGACTCCAACTCAAAAAAAAAAAAAAAAAAGAAAATCTGGCAGCAAGTCATGTGCCTGAGACATCTGAGTGCTGATGCTTTCTGAATAGCCTCCCTCCTTTCCTCCTTCTCTTCTTAATAAACCTCTTGGTAAACTGGATGGTGGGGGAGCAAGGGTATCTTTCAGTGGATTCACGCATGCTCAGGAGATAGAGTTAAGCTTCCAGGTTGAATGCTGCTAGACACAAGCCAGCTGTGGCTGAGTCTCCTCCATCTTGCCTTGTGACTGGTGTTGAACCATGGCATCCCTGCTGCTCCACTGCCCTCAGGTGCTTTTTGGAGGCATCATTTTCTTGGACCTACTTCTTTTCTGAATGTTTTTGCTGGATTTTCATAGTTTGCTGGGTATTCAGTCTGGCAGGTATTTGTTGAACATTTTCTGTGTGCCAGGAGCTTCCAAAAACAACAACAACAACAACAACAAAAAGGATGAAAAAGACACAGACTTCAGGTGTAGTGGAGATGGGAGATAAACTGAGCCTTCCCCCAAAAGCAAGGGGCAGATTTTACCTGTACCCAACCCTTTCCAGTCCATGATGCCTCCCTGAAACCCTCCCAACTCCCACCCCCACCTTGCCTAGTCTTCCTCCCTGTGGAATTGTAGTTGCTGATTTAAGTGACAAAACCCGCCAGGGCGCAGCAGGTCAGTGTGCTGTAGGCAAGGTGCTGTAAGAGTGTTCTGGGCTTTCCCAGTCCCCATAGATCTGTCAGCAGTTACTTGACTAGCACTATCGGGACTGAGTGCGGACCAGCAGCTGTGCAGGATGTGAAGCTGTGCAGCCCTGGTCCCGCAGAGGCTGGGCCCTCCCTGCTGAGGTGAGAGCATAGCTACACCTGGTGTTCACTGTCCCTGATGTCTCCTTCTCAGGAGCAGTTGTGGGCCTCGGCATCTTCCTCTTCCCTTCCCTCCCTCACCCTGACTCTGCAGCACACCCACTGAATGCTGCGGGTTGAGCAGTCCGGCTCTCAAGTACTTGCCCTGCAAAGCCCACCCATGGGTCGTGGAGGACAGCCTGCCTTGTAAGGCTGTCCACCTGCTCCCCTCCTCCACAGGTCTTTTGGGAGGTTTGGCTTACAACCACAATTGTCTGACTCCTGGTGAGCTTTTGTGTGGAAGACTAGATGTCCTTTGGGGCCGCCTCCTTCTCACACCACTGCAGAAGATGCACATCATCGTGTGAAGGAGGTCCTGACTTCTTCAAGCAGCTGCAAAGACGTGCTGGGTCTCAAATCAACCCAGGACCGACTCTCACCTGTCCACGTCTCTGTTTCCTGTCCTAACTATACCTGTGAGGTTAGCACTCAAATAAGCTGGGCAAACACATGAAACTGAAATTCAATAAAGCACAATGGACAATGGATACTGTTTACATACATTACCGGTGGGTGTTTTCTTCAGAACCTATTAAGACCAGGCCATCCACTCCAATGAGTGTTGCAGAATCTTGCCAGGACTGGCACTCCTGTGGTAGGGACCCTCAGGAAGTTCCTGGCAACACACCCTCCCCAGGGACCGCCTAAAGCTGTGCTAGGTGGTACACCCAGGGAGATTGTGAATTAGGATAGTCTGTGATTAATGTATTTGCATTTTATTTCTCCTTGAAAATAACACACACACACACACACACACACACACGCACAGTGGTGGGGAGACGGAGAGGGAGAAAAGGAGAGACAGATCCACTAGAAAAGAGAGCAACACTGAGGCCAAGCTGCTCGTAGGATGCCTGGGACTTCTACTCCTGTGGTCTGGAGGAAAAGGGTTTGTGTCTGCTTGGCTGGGCCAGTTTCTCCAACAGGAGTTCCAGGTGAGCCAGTCTGTTCCGGTTTCCTTTTGAAAGAGCCTCTTTTGAGTCTGTTGCATGCTCCCCATGTGTTTGTTTTCTGCTGCAGTGGGGTCATGTACGCTGGCCATTGTGTTCAGATAACCACATGGGCAAAGGCTCCTTCACCCCCAGCTGTATGAGTTCCTTGCTTGCTGCAGGGAGCAGCGTGTGGAAGATCAGTCCTGCAGAAGGAGATCAAAAGGGCTCTCATCAGTGTTGGTTTTTCTAAGAGATTGTGGAACAGATTTTAGATTTTAGGAGCTAAACAATTGTTGGTCTCTGAAGGAAGCTGGCTAGAGCACTATAATTCTGTCAGGTCACCAAGGTTATGAGGCCATCTGTTTTCTTGTCTGTAACCAGATGATCTCTCAGCTCTCCTTGGTTCTAAGATCCAACATTCCTTACAAAGACTCACACATGTAAGACTCACACATACACGCTCACATTTTAGAGGGAAGCTCCAACCTCGGGGCTGTTTCAAAGGCTGCTAGGCAGTCTTTTAGTTTATTTTTTAGCCAAAGAGAATGACCATGCCTTGCAAGTCAAGAAGTTCTAATTTAGGTCAGCCCTCAGGTGCAGCATTCCCTTGACCACTTCCTATAGGGGCTTCTTAGAAGCATGCACATTTGGTTGGGGGATGGGAGGGTGGGGGAGAGTTGAGCTGGAGTTCAAGGGAGCAGCTCCAGGTCAAAGTCGGGCACGAAGGCCATGCTCCTTGAGAAGCAGACACTTCCAATACCCAGTTTTCGGAGGGGATTGGACACAGGTCTGCTCAGTCTAGACAAAATGTGGTTAATCCAATTATCTGGTTTAGAATCACACATCCTCTTAAGAAGATGACTAATGTAGTACTTAGGGCTGAGAACATGCAAGAATCCCAGTGAGGCAGGGGGGACTTCTAACGCTAATTGGTAAAGATACAAGTTATATGAGGAAACTCTGTAACAATGTGTAAGAATGGGATCAGAAATTGATCTGAGCCGCTCTTGACTTTGGAAAACACAAGTGATGGTCCACAATTATTCACGCATTTAGGATGTTTCTAAGTTGACTGATGGGTGTCTCCTACTCAATCTATCAAAAGCCTGACCCTTTTGATCCCTTGACCCCCTTGATCCTTTTGATCCTTTTAAAATAAAACAAATTGTGAGATTGCATAAGACCTCATCCAAAAGATGTTTTCCAGGACCAAGTCCTCTGAAGAATTAAAAAACATTTTTTTTTTTGAGTTGGAGTCTCACTCTGTTGCCTAGGCTAGAGTGCAGTGGCATGCTTACAGCTACCATAGCCTCGACCTGCTGGGCTCATGCGATCCTTCTGCCTCAGCCTTCCAGGTAGCTAGAACTACAGGCGCATACCACCGTGCCTGGCTAATTTTTTGATTCATTGTAGAGACAAGGTTGTCCAGGTTGGTCTTGAACTCCTGGACTCAGGCAATCCTCCCACCTCGGCCTCCCAAATAAAAACATTTTTGATACACAGACACTCTGATTTCTGGTCCTGGCATACAACTTGGAGCTGTGAATCCAGCAGCCTGATGAACTGCCTCAAGTTCTCACATTTGTTCAGGAGCAAGTTGTGAGTGTTCTCTAGAACTCCTGGAAAGAAATTACCTTTTTCTTATTTGTAGGTTACTTAAGGGAAATTATTTTGCAGCTATATAATGTAAACAAGAACATAAGTATATTTGTTTCATGACAGACATTTACAGATGATGCTATATAGAAGAACTTTGCCAGTCTTTGTAAAGACAGCATGTCATAAAGGCAGAGTGAGGCTTTGAATAAAAAAATGTATTATAAAAATATACCAATTTAGTAAGTGTCTCACAATAGGTTTCTAATATTTGTAAGCAAAAACGTGACAAACACAATAGAAAAATGATCACATCCAATCAGGGGGAAAGTGTGGAACTAACTGCTGCAGATCAAGAGGTGATCTGGAATTAGCCTTTTGAGGAGGTGGGGAGGCCACTGGTAGTTCCAGGAAGTAGTTATGCTACCCAATTATGTATTCTGAGTTAGAAAAGAGATTTATGACTGCAACTGGTTTTCAAAAAATAATTCTTGAGTGGTGTCGGAACCACAAGATCTATACATGAGAAATAGTATCTGGAGAATCTCAGCAAAATAAACCTCCCTGGGATATTTCTGAGCCCTCTAGCGGGTAAGGGAGTGGAGGACAAAGTCAACCTGGCCAGTAGCCATTAGGTCAAGAGGAAGGGGGAAGATTCCTCACAAGCACTGCTTGGATGGGGTGTTTCAATCATTAGCTGTTTTTGGTTTTTCTTGAAATTAAGAAACCGGGTGGGAGGAATGAGAACTTTGTGGGAAATAGGGTTTTGCATGTCTTTGCTTGTTAGAAAAATGCTTTGCTTTGCTTTGCTTTCCAGGTAAGTCAGGAAAGAGAGGTTGCATTAGTTCACCCCTTTGCAATCCCAGGCTTAAGGCAAGGCCCTTGGACACTGATGCCTCCCACAGTATTTTCCCCAGTGCCCGTTCTCCTTCTGGGGTGATGTGCTCCTTATGTGGGGCACGGTGCCAGGCCAGGAGCCTGGAAGCACCTGTCCCAAGAGTTATCACAGGCCAGGAGACATACCTCCCAATGCTTCTTCCTCCATCATCTTGATTTTTTTAATAAAGAACGAAGAGCTCCTTCCCACAATAGACAACCAAAAGTGTCCGCCATGGAAACAGTGTGCCAGTTAATTCCTTTCCTTTGAAACTCAAATTTATGAGCAGACCTAGATGTCAGGTATCTCAAGAGCCAAAACATTATCACATTTTCTCGTACCTTCCCTGCTAATTTCCAAAATCCAGGTTTTTGCTACAAATGAAAACATGAGAGTTCCTCTCAAAACTTTTCTCTTATACCATCCAAATGCCATCCTTATGACAACAGGACCCCACACAGCTACTGATTGAAAAGCTTCAGCAAGGAACTGTGGGGAGTGACAGAGCGGCAGCAGAGAAGTGGGAATGGTGGGGATGAGGTGAGATGCAGCATGGGTGGGACTTTCCACAGGAGGCATTCTGAGCCTGGGGCACCTCAGGTCCCCTGAGCCAAGGATGTGCCTCAAGCCATGGACTGTGGGAGGCACAGAGTACCTTGGCTTGTTGGTTAGCTCCAGCAGCTCGAGGATGCAAAGGGAGGTCGTGAGTCTCAGTCTGCTGTTTAGCAAAGTTCACAAATACCTGGAGGCAAGAGAAGAATGAGAATAAGTAGATGTTTCCAGGAAGATTGCCTCTTATGTCCACCTGACCACTTTGCTCCGTTTCCCACCATTGATGTACAGCCCTGCTAGTGTGGCTTGTGTCCTGCCTGGGGGCATGGGTGGCCCCCGTCAGAAGCCTGGACAGGGTTAGCTTCTTAGAGCCCTGAGTTGAGTCATGGGAGTTCCTGCTGGAGGATTCAAAAAACTTGGACACCAGACGTTGGGGTAACCAAGGCCAGGCAAATTCTCAGCTAGCAGCATTCTCTAACCCTCTAGAGAAACTAAAACCAAGGCAGCTGATCTCTGTTCAGTTCTTCACTGAGTGTGCAGTGTGGCCACGGCCCCTGCTTAAGGCTGACAAGCAGGGTGTCAAGTCAGCTCCTCAGGGGGCAAATGGACACTTGTCTGTTTCCATTGCTTTACTGAAATTAAAAAAAAAAAAACCCAGAAAACAGAAACAACCCCAATGTACATCAGTGAATGAATGGATGGATAAGAAAATGTGGTCTACGATACAATGGAATGTTATTCAGCTTTAAAAAGGAAGAAAATTCTGGCACATGCTACAACACAGATGGACCCTCGAGGACGTTGTGGTGAGATAAGCCAGGTGCAAAAGGACAAACACTGTGTGATTCCACTTACATGTGGCACCTAGAACAGTTGGAGTCATAGAGACAGAAAGCAGAATGGTGGTTGCCCAGGGCTGAGGACGGCTGGGGCAGGTGGGAGGGTGAGTGAGGAGTGAGTGTTTAGAGGGCACAGGGTTTTCGTGAAGCCAGATGAAAATAGTTCTATGGAGGCTGGTGGATGGTCGCACAACAATGTGAATGTACATGACGTCACCGAACTGTGCACTTAAAAATGGTTGACAAGGTTAATTTTACATTATATTTTTCAATAAAAAATGTAATTACATTTTTTAAAAACCACACACAGAGCACATGTTTATTAAAACTCACCACAGGCCGGGCTCGGTGGCTCAGCCTGTAATCCCGCGCCTTTGGAAGGCTGAGGTGAGTGGATTGCCTGAGCCCGCGGGTTCGAGACCAGCCTGGGCAGCGAGACCTCATCTCTACAATAAATCAAAAAATCAGCCGGGCGTGGTAGCGCATGCCTGTAATGCCGGCTACTTGGAAGACTGAGGCGGAAGGATCGCCGGAGCCCAGCAGGTCGAGGCTGCGGTGGCCGGGAGCGGCCACTGCACTCCAGTCTGGGCCACAGAGTGAGACTCCAACTCAAAAAAAAAAACTCACCACAGTATACACTTAAAATTGGTGCGTTTCAGTGTCTGCAAATATCAATAAAGTTGATTTGTAAAGGAAAAAAAAACAGCAAGAATGAAATGACCAATCATAGTTTAATGGAGAAGGAAGATGTGAAAAAAAAACTCGGTGAAGTTTGCTGATGACTCAAATGTTATTAGAAGACAATTTCTGGCATGCCACATTTTACCCTGCTGGGCAGCAGGCAAGAGTGTGTCAGACATCAGGACGCTGGGCCTCCCTGTGTGTCAGTTCCAGCCTACACCGGGCATTCCAGCTGTCCCTGCCCAGCCATGCCTATGCCAGTGCCCCAGCCGACTTGCCTGGTCCAGCGTGGTCTGCGTGACCGAGTATTCCTCGATGAGCAGGCTGTCCTTGTGGGAGAGCAGCAGCTGGAAGATCCTGGCCAGGGAGGAGGATGAGACCTGGAACTGCAGCATGTTGTAGTGCCTCTCGCGCTGCACACTGCCCGGGAAGTTGCCCTGGAAGAACTGCTCCACGGGGTTCAGGTCAGGAAGCAGGTCATCCTTCGGAGACTTGATCTTCATTGTGACAACGTAGCCATCGCCAAACCTGGGGAGACCATGGGTGGGACGGGTCTCCGTTAGGGGGTGGATCTAAGGCAGTCCCCAGATAGGGAGTGGACTTGTTAGATATTCTGGGGGTTAAGGCCCTTGCCAATGGCCTGTGTGCATGTTTAAAAACGAGGAGAAAAACCATGATAGTCTTTGGAGAAATCGTTTGATGCCAGTTTTCGGAGGTCAAAATGTCGGTGTGGTAAAGGGGACAGATGTACTCACAGAAGTATTCTTAGCCCTGCATGGGGACCCCAGGCCTGCCCATAAAGACATGTGTGTCACTGCCACTGAGTAGTGGCAGAGGCTGACAGACCTTTCAGGAGACAGACCAGTTAGGAGAAAAGGCTTGGGAAGGCACCACTTCCCCGAGGAAGCTTCCAGAAGCAAAAGGAGCTGTCACAGCCAGGGCCATTGGTGTTTCCCTTCTCCTCTCACCAGGTTTGCTAGCCACTCTCACGTGGATGAGGGAGGCCCACCAGAGAGCAAGTGCACGACCAGCCAGCATCTGCACACAGTGACACCAGGGCACCCTGTGTCGGTCATGACCCACTTCAAAGCTCACTCCTGATCTAGGGTTATTCTTTCCAGTAAGATGCCCTTCACTTTGCAGTGCCAGAAAACCGGTGGTCCCTCCCCACGTGAGCACGCCCTTCTCTGTCATGTGATGGGAGGGGTTAGAAGGAAGGAACAAGGGAGCATCCTGCCTCCAGCAGTTGGACACAGGAGGTTGTGGAAACAGGTCTGGTGCCCTCGCATTGGCTGTTCCCAGCTGTAGCTGCTCAAGAAACCACAGACCAAACACCCGTTTGCCAAATGCAGCTGAGTGACGGCAGCTTCCTCTCAATCATTTATCTGCACTAATGCATACGAAAGATAATGTCTTCTGTGTGACCTTCTCCCACGGGTACATCAAGATTCAGCATTCAGCACAGAGGAGGTAGGCTATGTGCGGTTCCTTCCACCAACTAGCTCAGTGGTTTTACATTCAGAGCTCCAATTGAGTGTTCATTAGATGAATGAGTAATGACAATACATCTGCTCTTTTCCAGGTTATAAAGCATGCCAGAATGCCAGGGAGCATGGCAGTGTTATGGCAATATTATGATAATATTATTTTAACTGATTTTTAGCTTTGGCACACAAAGTATGAATAATGACTTATTTACAACAGTTTGCAATTCATGGGCACAGGATAAATCTACTCAAGGTTACTGGCATTTTTGGCTTGTCCTATAGCACATGGTCATTTTTCACAGTCAAAAGCATTACAGTATTCTTTTTTTTGAGTCAGAGTCTAACTCTGTTGCCCAGGCTGGAGTGCAGTGGTTCGTTTATGGCCACCCCAGCATCAACCTGCTGGGGTCTGGCAATCCTTCCACTTCAGCCTTCCAAGTAGCCGGAACTACAGGTGCGGACTACCACACCCTGCTAATTTTTTGATATATTGTAGAGACAAAGTCTCACAAGTTGCCCAGGCTGGTCTCAAACCCCTGAGCTCAGGCAATCCTCTTGCCTCAGCTTCCCAAAGTGCTGGGATTACAAGCTTGAGCCACCGCACCCAGCCACAATATTCTAAAAAAAGAAATCATTCCTATGTTGGTTGTGGACTCTCAGTAAATAGGCCACGGACGCTGGATCTTCTGGGATTAGTGGTGCAATGCTGAGGTAGTGGCTGTGGCCGGCTGTCACCCCAGCCAGGCTCTGCATACATCTGGAACACCCATCCAGACTCGCTGAGCCTTCAGCCAGGCAGTTAGGCCAATGTGGAGGAGTTTCTTATCAGCACCATGACTTTCTCCATCTGCTGCTGGAGAACGAGGTCCAGCCACCACCTGCCTCTGCCCGGGGGGCAGGGGGATGGTGGGGCAGCAGGACCCTCCCAAGTGTCAACAGAGAACACACGGCCTGGTTGGACTACACAGAAGGCAACAAAGGGCCCACCTCACAATCTACTTACTTGGACTTGAGGTGTTGAATGGTACCCATACACCGAAAGGCACCCTTCACCATGATGGCCAGCCGAGTACACAGTGCCTCACACTCTTCCATGCTGTGGGGCGGAGGAGAGGAGGTGAGGTCAGGGAGGACTCCCCCACCCATCTTCCCCAGCCCTGGGAGCCTCTTGCCTGTGGGACGTGAGGACCACAGCTCTCCCTTCCCGGATGATGCTCACGATGACGTTCCACAGCATGCGGCGTGCCTGCGGATCCATCCCTGTGGTGGGCTCATCCTGTGTGGGGGTGGGGGTGGGAGAGAGGGCGAGGCAAGGGCTTGGAGCTGGCCTCTCTTGGTTACTGCTTCCTCCCCGGGCTGACTTCTCTGAGCAGCTCTAGTCTGAGCAGAATGAGTTGACAGACACACAAGGTCACTCCCTCACTGGGCAGGGCAGGGGGGTGGATCAGGGAGTGAGGAGCATGGTGGACACCTCTGGACTCATTTCAACCCATTGGTGGGTTAAAGTGCTTCAGGCAATGGTGGAATTATCCTTATACAAAGGAAAAGCCCTGCAAATATGTTTGTATAGAGGCAGGGAGATGGCACAGGTAAGTCCTCTGGTTCCCTGAATGTCTTGTGGCCCGTGCCCTCATGAGCCTCAGGCCTGGGCTAGCTCAGGCGAGAGTCCCATGAGCCTTTGATCCAGATCAGCGTTCCTGTACACTTCAGACCCCACATGCAGACACCAACATGCCACGGAGTGGGCTGGACGTCCCAGCCTGCAGTCCACAGGAGACTTCCTGGGACTCACAGGGAGATGGTGCTGTCACTTGTTTCCCTCAGGAGGTCTGAACCGCACACTGGGCGGATTTGATCAAAATAAGATACACAGGGAACAGTCCAGACAAAAGCAGACTGCCGCGTTTTCTGAATCTGCTGACCCAGAACGTATTTCCCACCCCCAGAGAGGCGCGCTTGGCTTAAGCTCCCGGGCGGTGCCCGCGGTTACCAGCAGCACCAGCGGCGGGCAGCCAATGAGCGCGATGGCCGTGGACAGCTTCCGCTTGTTGCCCCCACTGTATGTGCCAGCCAGGCGGTCCGCGTAGACAGAGAGGCCCAGGCTCTTAATGCTCCAGTTCGCAACCTAGGGGAGGAAACGAAACCTCGTTTGGAGAAGACTAACAAGCACTCACCCCAGGCCTCCCCCGGTCTAAACCCCTTCGTCCCAAGATCTCACACTCCAGGAAGACAGACAGGGTGAAGACAGGGGGATGGAGACAGGGTCCCTGCTGGCTCCTGTCCTCTAGCATTGCCTCAGGGGCCAGGCAGAGCCTCTCCACTGTGTGCCTCAGACCCAGGAGTGGCTCAGGACCCATGGGTGCAGCCTCCTGGGAATGACCTTCAGCCTCTTGAAGAATGAGAGAGCTTGTCTCACCCAGTGTCCCAGACTATGGCTAGCAGTGGCAGAGGAGGGGTCTGCTTGAGAAGATGGTGGGTCATAAGCCTCTGGATTCACCCCTCAACGGGGTCACACCTGATGCCTGTGCATCTAGTGCATACTTATGGTGCTCCTGCCATGAGCCCCGCACTGAAATCGGCTCTGGAGAACAGTGGCGAACACAGCCTTTGCTGCTGTACTCACAGACTGTGGGGAGGGGCCAGACCATAGAAACAAAATAATGACAATTGTGACAGCACTTTAAGAGGGCTCCATAGAGAACCATGGTAGAGAATAGTAGACGTGTGTGTGTGTGTGTGTGTGTGTGTGTGCAGGAGGAGAACCAGGGAGTCATGGGGGAAAGCCCACTATGCTGCTCCTGCCTTTGCACTGATCCCCTCTGCCTGGAATGCCCTTCCCCTAGATGGCTGCATGGCTCACTCTCTCACCTCTAGGTCTTCACTTGGAAGTCATCGCCTCTGTGAGGCTCTCTTGAGCCACCCTAGCTAAAAGGGCACCCCGGCTAGTCTTCTCTGCCTGACTTTTCTCCTCAGGCCTTTTCACTCTTGAATGTAGTGGGTATTTTACTTATTTATCTATATGTTTTCTGCCCCTCCCACTAGAATGTAAGCTCTATTTTTAACATTCTATTTGGAAATAGTTTCAAACTTAGAAAAATGCAAAAGAATAAAAGTAGTGTATAGAACATGCATAAGCCCTTCTCGCTAGCTCACTCTCTCTCTCACACACACACACACACACGCAAACACAATACATTTTTTTCTGACCATCATGGCCCTTCACTCCTAAGTGTTTCCCAATAATAGAGATTCCCTCTTACATAACCACAGCACAGTTATCACTGTCAGTAAATTCAACATTGTTATGATAATTTAATCTACCGTTCATAGTCCAGTTTTGTCAAGTGGCCCAATAATGTCCTTTATGTTATCTTTTTTCTCTTCTGCAGAAGATGCAGATGCAGTTTAGTCTAGTATTCAGTCATTATGTTTGCTTAGCCTTCTGTGATCAGGAACATTTCCATAGTTTTTATGACTTTGATTTTTTGAAGAATATAGTCACTCCCTTTTTAAAAAAAGTTTCTCCTTTGGAGCTTGTCTGATGTTTCCCCATAATAAGATTCTGGTTACACATTTCCAATCAGAAAGCTACATAAGTGAAGGTGTGTCCTCCTCAGGGTATCACATCTGGGGCATGGGATATCCGGTTGTCCCTTACAGTTGATGTTAATTTTAATCATCCAGTTAAGGTGCTATCAATTTCCCACTGTAAAGTTATTCTGCTTCCTCCTTGTAACAAATAAGCAATCTGTGCAGAGATACTTTTTTTTTTTTTTTTTGAGTTGGAGTCTCACTCCATTACCCAGGCTGGAGTGCAGTGGCACACTCATGGCCACCCCAGCATCGACCTGCTGGGCTCCGGTGATCCTTCCACCTCAGCCTTCCAAGTGGCCAGAACTACAAGTGCGCACTACCATGCCTGGCTAATTTTTTGTGCATTGTAGAGACGAGGTCTCGCCAAGTTGCATGGGTTGGTCTCGAACCCACGGGCTCAGGCAATCCACTCACCTCGGCCTCCCAAAGTGCTGGGATTATGGGTTGAGCCACCGAGCCTGGCTGAGATACTTTTAAATCATGCAAATATCTTACTTCTCATCAAAAGCTTTCCTGAGTTTTAGCATCCATTGGTGATTCTTGTGCAAGCCAATCTCTACTACGGTCATTGCAAAATTATTTCCAGCTCCAGAACTCCATACTACCCAGTCGGCTCTCAGCATCTAATTGTGAGCAAGAACCTTCCCCTCTCTCTTGTTTATCTATTTAACAGTATAGAGTTATGAACTTCTACTTGCCTCCCAATGCTTTATAACTTATCATGGTATTTAATTACTTTGATGCTCAAGTAGTTACATATTTGGCTATTGGGAGCCCCTTTGAGATGAGTCCTATGTTTTTGTGACATGCCCCCATAATATACTTTTCAAAGCACTTCCTTACTTCCTGGCATAGAATATTTCAGGCTTATTTTATGCCTATGCTGTTCCAGCCCTAGAATTATTTGAGAAATAACGGTCCCTATTAGTGGGGAATGATATTAAGACCAAAAGCTGGCCGGGCTCAGAGGTTCAGCCTGTAATCCCAGCACTTTGGGAGGCTGAGGTGAGTGGATTGCCTGAGCCTGAGGGTTCAAGACCAGCCCAGGCAACTTGGCAAAACCTCATCTCTATGATAAATCAAAAATTAACCGGGCATGGTAGTGTGCACCTGTAGTTCCAGCTACTTGGAAGGCTGAGGTGGAAGGATCGCTGGAGCCCAGCAGGTTGACACTGGGGTGGCTGTGAGTGTGCCATCATACTCCAGCCTGGGTGATGGAGTGAGACTCCAACTCAAAAAAAAAAAAGAAAGACTAAAAGCTACTGGGGTGTTTTTGCTCCTTGGTCCTTTTGGAAAATAGATATACACATGCACACAGATATTCACTACATACATGTGCATATATGAACTATCCATGAGTACATCTATATGCACATACAAACATATATGACTGTGATCCTCTGAATCCATAGCACTGTCTTCTCTTTTTTTTGAGTTGGAGTCTCACTCTGTCGCCCAGGCTGGAGGGCAGAGGCACGCTTACAGCCACCCCAGCATCCACCTACTGGGCTCCGGCAGTCCTTCTGCCTCAGCCTTCCAAGTAGCTGAAACTACTGGTGCGTGCTACCACACACAGCTAATTTTTTGTTTATTATTGTAGAGACAAGGTCTTGCCAAGTTGCCAGGGCTGGTCTCGAACCCACAGGCTTAGGCAATCCACTCGCCTCACCCTCATAACACTATCTTCAACTCTAGTCCGTGGCCCCAAGGTTCCTTCTTGTCTTCCTCTTTCTGTATTGGTATGTTCCTTCTTCCACAGTGACATCAACACAGTCCTTCCTTTACTTCACCCCGTAACACATCTAAAATTGCTTCAGAATTGCTTTGCCCACACCGCTGCAAAACACAAATCAACTAAGAAGAACTCAGAAATTACTTGTAGCTCTTTCCCCTCACTACATGCTGTCCAAGACAGAAGCCATGTAGTCAAATGCTGTCTTCATCAGGTGTTTGTACTGGTTCTTTCCCAGTTGTGCAGGACCATGATATTTATTTCAAATAAAACTGGGTTAATTTTGTTTCAGTTTTCTTTGAGTGTTAGGACTTTCTTTCATTTTCCTTTTTACTCCCTTTCCATTCTTACTGATTTTGTTTTGTTTTGAATATGTGGAGCATTAACATGCTTCCAAAAGTCCTAACTATACAGAGACATCCTGGGAAGTGTCCTTCCCACCCCTACCCCCATCTCTCTTTCAGCGCCATTCCTTCCCTTCCTGTTGATCACCAAACTTATGGCTTTCTGGTTGATACTTCCTGTGCCCTGTTTGCAAAGGCAAGCAGACATACGATTGCACTATTTCTTTCTTTCTACATGCTCTCTTTTGCACTTTGCTTTTTTTCACTCAACAATATTTACTGGAGATAACTCCATACTGGGTCACAGAGACTTCCCTTGATCTTTTTCAAGGTTGCATATGACTTTACTGTGTGTGTGTACCATAAGTTACTTAACCAGTCTACTAGGCCTGAACATTTAGGTAATTTCCGGTATTCTGCAATTACAAATGCTGTGGGTAACCTTGTGCATAAGTATTTTGTACTGTGGGAGGTGCGTCTTCAGGGTAAATTCCTAGAAGTGTGGCTGCTGGGTCAAAGGGTAAGTGCATATGTTGTTTTGTGTTTTGTTCCCTGTTCTACCCCTGGTTTCTAGAACAGCACTTGTCACATGGTAGACACTCAGAAAGCATTGTTTGTAATGAATGGATAACTAGCATGCCTAGTTTCCCACAGGCAAAGGCACTCTCATGAAACAGGCTTATGGTTTACCAAACTCCTACGTGTTGACAGTAAACCATGTCTTACCCTCTTGATTTCCTCCGCTGGTACACCTCGAAGACGGGCATAAAGGTAAAGGTGTTCTCGCCCTGTGAGCAGGTCATCGATTGCATCAAACTGAGGACAGTAGCCCATGCTTTGATGGACCTCAGAAATGTTGGTTAAAATACTGGAAGAAGAAAAAGCAGTTAGTGAATAATCTTCATGGGGGAGACCAGAGAGCTGGGCTGGAGATGCTTCTGCCAGCACGATAAGAAAGCTGCCTCTTCTCTCCCACTTGGCTTCAGAAATGTGCAAATGTTTGGGAATCAAAGCAGGGGCCCTCTGGGCAGGAAATGATGGACCTTGGACGTTCTGAGCTTTGAATCTAGTCAGTCCCTTCAGGTCTTTATTTTCAGGTCTGGAACAAACTGAATGCCTGTGACCCAAAAGTCAGCTTTGGTTTTGGATCGGATCCCTTCACATGGGAGTTTAAAATCCAAGGGAAGATCAGGTGTAAGAAAATGATGGCTGGGCTCGGTGGCTCAGCCTATAATCCCAGTGCTTTGGGAGGCCGAGGTGAGTGGATTGCCTGAGCCTGCGGGTTCAAGACCCACTTGGGCAACTTGGCAAGACCTCGTCTCTACAATAAATGAAAAATTAGCCAGGCATGGTAGCGTGCATCTGTAGTTCCAGCTACTTGGAAGGCTGAGGCAAAAGGATTGCTGGATCCCAGCAGGTCGAGGCTGCGGTGGCTGGGAGCGTGCCACTGCACTCCAGTCTGGGCGATGGAGTGAGACCCAACTCAAAAAAGAAAAGAAAATGATGAGTGTTTTTTATTCCTTTTCAGACACGTGGAGAGTTGCTAGAAAATCTGGGCACATCCCAGCAGAAGCAGACTTCTCCATCTGTGTTTACTGGCAAAGACATAGTCAATGAAAGAGGAAGCAGTCAGTAACCACCCAGAGCCAGAGGCCTGCAAAAGGCAGAGATGAAGTGAACTGGGTTCTATCAACTCCCTGTGAGTAATGCATTCTCCCCCACTAGAAAATATATTGCCTTGGTGAAAAAAAATAACTGTGCATAAACACTGGTCTTATCATCTCGTCCTCCTCTCTTATACCCCAGGGTCTGTGATAAATGATGGATGCAATAAGAAGGGACACAGAGAGGCCACTGCAGTTCCCCACTATGACAAAAGCCACCAAAGGTATGACTGGGCTGATTAAGATCACCCAGGGAAACAAGGAGGGTACTTCACCAAATTCACTGGGGCTACCCACCAAAGAACCTCAGTTTTATGTCTTAAACATGTAGCTTCTGTCTAGCCATCAGCTCAGTGTTACCTTCTGGACATCAAACCGTCTCACTTGAAGTATAACTTGATATGTCACTAATTCTTATGACATCCTTCCTCTGTCCCCTTCCCCCTTGATTCCTTTTGTTACCATCATGAAGTCACTTGCTTGGTCACCTGCAGGCCAAGATGGGTCTCTAGATGAGATAGACTCGCCATGGCCTGGCTCCAAACTTCCTGTAAACTCAATAGGGGTGGCCATGGGAGGCCAGAGAACAAAATTCGTCCTGTTTGAACCAGTAAAGCACACTCAGAACTCCCCTGCCCACTGGCATCAGGCCATGCTAAGGATGGCTTTCAGGTGAGGGAGGGAACACCTAGCCAAGCAGATGCTAGATAGATGTCAGCAATGCCAACTTCACTGGCAAACCAGGGCACAGACTTCCCCTGGGCACATCAGCTATGTGTAAACTTGGTCATTCACACTTGTCCCATAGTCAAGAAGGAGGCAAACAAGTGAGAGCCATTCTCTCTAGCCTGCCGGTTGAGAACCAGTCTGTTTAAACACTGTATTCCAGAGAGCAGAGTCGCTTTCCAGAATCTGAGGCTGTGGTGAGCCATGATCATACCACTGCACTCCAGCCTGGGTGACAGAATTAGACCCCGACTCAACAAAACAAAACAAAACAACCCAAAAAACAATCAAAATTCAATTCCACTTTCCAAGTGGTCTGTCCCTTACGTGTCTTGGACTATGCTCTCTGGGAGGCCCCTCCTCTGCACAAAGCTTTCAGGACTCAAATCACCCCATTGTAGGGTCTGATGACCATCACCCTCCCTATGCTGGAACAGGGACATGGCCCAGGACCTGTGAGAGGAGGAGAAGGGCACTCACCTCTTGCCCGCTACAGTGGCGTCCCCTGAGGTCACTGTGGTGTCCCCAGTGAGCATCTTGAATGTGGTGGTTTTGCCGGCACCATTCACTCCCAGGAGGCCAAAGCACTAGAAGGAAACACAGAGCTGGCCTGGCCCTAGAGACCAAAGGTCTGGAGTGCCAGGCTCCAGGGCAGGTGTGTGGGCTGGAGGGGACATTTGAGACCTGGGCTGCCCTCACTGAGGCCACAAGCCACACATGGCCACGGAGCACTTGAATCACATCTAAGTCTCAACTGACATGGGCCCTAAGTGCAAACCACAGACTGGATTTTGAGGACTTAGAACAAAAAAAAATGTAAAATATCTCATTAATCACGTGTTATATTAATTACATGTTGAAATGATAGTATTTTGACTACATTGGTAAAATAAAAAGAATATTAAAATTAATTTATCCTGTTTTCTTTTTACTTTTTTCTACTAAGAAACTAAAAAGTACAACCATGGCTTGCATTGTGTTCCCACCGCTAGCTCTGTTCTGGAGTCAGGTGAAGAGCTGGCTCCCTGCAGCCCTTTCCCACATGGTCTGCCGTACCCACCTCTCCAGGGCGGACCCCAACACATAGCCTGTCCACCGCTCGGCTAGAGGTGCCTGGATAAACCTGCAAGACCCAGAGAAACTGGACTGAGAACAGAGACAGGCAAGAGCGGCGGGGGGAAGGAGGGGCACCAGCAGAGCCTGACGAGGAGAAAGCCCCACGAGGGCCCGGCAGCCAGAGCGATGCTGAGCACTGGGGACCCCAGAAGCCGCCCACCTGAGCTGGGTGGGCCTGGATGGATGGCGGGGGCACACACTGGGATCTGGTGTGCTTGGAAGGCACAACATGACACAGGTGACAACGCTACACAAACCCAGGAGAGCAAACTGCCTGCATAGTACGTTGCTTGTGCTACAGAGAAGCGACAGGTGCTACCGTCCCCTAGGCCACCTGCCAGCAGCACTACCCCAACACATCTACACCTGTGCCTACCTTGGTCAGCTCATTTAGCCGTAAGATGTCCGTTTTATTTCCCCCGTTAGCAATCCTCTGTCTTTCTTCAGCCACATCATCGTCCTCATCGACAATGGGCTCCTTAGTGGGCTCGGTCGTCCTAGGGAGAGCGGGGACGGGGTGGGCTGGTGGTCAGCGTCCTAGGCACTGCCCTTCCAGCAGACCTTTCTTCCCATGCCCTGCTTCTGCCTCCTTGTGGGCTTCTATCCCTAAGTTCCAAAAGGGCTTCCAGAGGAGGACAGGAGGCTTTGGGTAGAGAGCCAAGTGCTCACATCCAGAACCGGTCCTGCGTGACCTCCTCATGCATGTCCCCGGACACTGGGCCTCTCTGAACCATGTCTCCATCAACCATGTGAGGGAAGGGGCAATACTGTCTCCCAGACGACTGTGGTGAGGAGGAACTCAGCCCCATGCCTGGTGCACAGTCAAGCCCGATGTGACTGAGCCCTTCCTCTGTGGTGAATGCTGTGGGAGTGAGGTCCCACTGGCCCCAGGCCACCTGCCAACTCAGCCTCTTCAGAGCAGTCTGTCATCAGGTCACCTCACATATCCAAGTCTTCCACAGTACTCATCGGCTGGGGGTCAAGGCCTTCACTCCCCAGCTGGAGCAGGAGCCCTGCCACCCAGCCCTGCCTTCCCTTCTTGTAGAGTTCATGTACCATCAACCATTGGCATCTCCGCTGGTCCCTAGCCCTGCCATCATTCAACCTCCCTGCCTCTGTGTGTGTAGCAGCCTCTCAATGTTCTCTTCCTCTTGCCCTGCCAAGCGGAATTCCTCTATCCTTAAAGACATGGCCTCTTCTCTAAAGCCCTCCCTGATCTTCTGGAAGCCAGAGACTGGAATGCCTGTCTGGTTCTCTTTAGGCCATAATGACACCAACCTTTGAAGCCAATGGGTTGGTTTTAGTAACCCACCCTCTACCCCACCATCCCCTACACAAAGACCTTCCAAAAGATGTGACTGGAGTTGCGGAGGGGGCCTACAAAGGCTGAGGGTCCCAAGGACCATGACTCCACACACTGTCTCCCGTATTCAGAATGTGCTGACCCTGTGATCTCATTCAACACTCACAACCCTGGGAGTCGGAAGGTAGACTCATTTCCAATAAATCAGTTCCCTGTGAATCAAAACCTAAAAACAAACGCTTGGAATCTCTATGGACAGATGATGAGACACAGCCTGAGAAGGGAAAGGCTAAGAAGCAAAACACTGTCCAGGAAAGCTTGCTGGGGGGGTCAGGGATCTACAATTCAGGCCTGTGAGGAGGCCAGGAAAAGCCAGCATGGATACAGAGGCTAGAGAGGCAGGAAGAAGGGCCTGGGGAGAGTGTCATGAGGCCAGCTGACCAGACAGGTGAGAAGTCCTGGTCAAGAGTCAGGGTTCACAGCCTACTACCACCCTCCACGGCTGGGCGTGACCCTCCATGGCCCCCAGCTCCTTTCACCTCCCACACGGTTTCTGTATTACTCTCCTGCTGCCCTGTCCTACCCCTACTCCCAAGTCTTCATTAGCAAAGGGACCTGCATGTCTCTTCTCTTGTGAAAACAGTGCTTTGGATGGCCTTAACCAACGTTGCTTGCAGTGCTGTCACCCGATTAAAGTGAGTGTCTGGTCGTTAGATGGGAAGGACTAAATATTAGGAACCGAAACTAATGACATTGCACTTCCAATATTTTAAGGCCAAGGCTCGCCACAGATTCCAGTGTGTGGTTTTAACCCATCTCCCTCGCATTACTCAGAACAAGCCAGGCTTTGAGCATCTATAAGCCCAACGTCGACAGGGTTCCTGAGGAAACAGATGATCACGTCAGTGTGAAGTCCAGCCCTGGATGCACAGAGTGGCCTGCTGGCCCTGGGGCACAGCGTGGACGTACCACTGGGAGAGGAAGAAGTGGTGCTGGACGAGGAGGGTCAGCAGGAAGTACACCACCCCTTCCACTGCCATGGCAGCCAGGTTCTTCCCAATCAGGTCCCACTGGAACGGATTTGAAGAGTGTGCCTCTCCTGCAAAGCAACAGGATTTGGGTTTGGAATGGTCTTCAGTGGCCCCAGCTCAGCCCCGTGGACCTGGCCAAAGCAAGAGGCCCAGCCAGACCAGGCTTCGTGCAGGAATTACACAAGAGTCAAATATCTATTTCATCTGGGTCCCAAGTCAGAGTAGGGAAGAGTAAAAGCCTGTCATCCCCCACCCTTGTGGCTCCTCGGCCATAGAAACCGGCCTCTAATCCCTTCTGGGAAGCAGGACCTTCCTAGACCGATAAAGTTCCCTCCCAGTCCCAGCCTGGCTGCAGTCTGAAGCAGGAACTCCCGCTGTGGCCCTCCCAGCCTTGAACCCAGAGCCCACATGCCATGGGCCTCAATGGCCACCCACCAAACCGGGCATAGACGTCTGTCACAGCCTGGCTTAGAGCAAGGTCGATGAGGCCCCGGCCCAGGCAGAAGTGGGGGAAGATAATGAGCAGCTTCCTCAGCATAGCATTGAACCTGAGTAGCATCTGAAAGAGAAAAGCAGGACCATTGGAAGTGGGGGCCAACCTCACTTGCCCTCTCCTGAGCAGGTGGGGCCCGATGCCCTTTTGGGCTGGGACAAGGGGAGGCCTGCTGGCAAGGGGGTCCCATAGCCCACTGGCCAGTGGGGGGTTTATCAAGCAGAACAAAGGGGTTTAGGTGAGAACCTGGAAGTCCTTTCAGGAGGTGCCCCACAACCAGGCCGAGGGGCTGTCAATTGATGACTAATCAATGGCTGGGGATTCTGTAAGTTTCTGGTGGGCAGGAGCTGCCTCCTTTGTCTAGCCAGGCAGCACTGAATAAACATTGACCATGCCCAGAGTCTGGCTTTGCGGAATGTTCACCTGACTCTCCTTAATCCTTGGTGGCTCTGGGCAATATGAGGTCTGCACAGAAGCAGCAGCCCTTGGCCAGTGCAGACTCAACTCTGAAGTGTGCAGGAGTCTTTCACAGCACTTGCTACTGCACTGCAGCAGCTTCTGGGACTGTGGCCCTGTGTCTCCCCCCCGGCACAGCTGTGAGCTGTCCTGGGCTTCTCAGCAACTCTGTCTTAGCTCAGCAGCTACCAACAGGGACAGGCTCGAGCACCTCCAGCCCTGCTTGTCAGCTCTGCACAAGGCAGCCACCACTGTCAAGAGAGGAGGGATGATGCTCTCTGGGGTCTGTGCTGAGCTGGGGAATGTGCTTGCAGGTGGTCACTGTGCTGCCTCCAACTTGGTGTTGGGCAGAGCCTCCCACAAGAAGGTAGGAGAGACTGAGGCGACAAGGCTGCAAAGCTCCCTGCCGGGTCACTGCTGTCTGCTCTGTCTGACCCGTCCTGACGCCCCAGCCTCCTGCCCCTCCTGTCTCTACAACTTGCCCACATACGTCATTGGTCCTGATCTGGCCCTCCTCACAGTGCAAACTTCCCAGAATACACTTTGCTCTTCTGCCTCCGGGCCCTTGCATTGTAGTTGTTTGGCAGGGAGAAACACTCTCTTCCCTCCTGCTTCCCGACAGAGTCCTGTCCTTTAGAAACACCGCTCAGTAGCCCCTTCTCTCATAGGCCTGCCTAGATTCCCTTGGGAAATCTCCATTCTTCTCTTACTGTGCTTAATATATTCCCATGATTACTCTTTCTTTTTTTTTTGAGTTGGAGTCTCACTGTCGCCCAGACTGGAGTGCAGTGGCCGCTCCCGGCCACCGCAGCCTCGACCTGCTGGGCTCCGGCGATCCTTCCGCCTCAGCCTTCTGAGTAGCTGGAATCACAGGCATGCGCTACCACACCCAGCTGCTATTTTGATTTATTCTAGAGATGAGGTCTTGCTGCCCAGGCGAGTCTCGAACCCGCGGGCTCAGGCAATCCACTCACCTCAGCCTCCCAAAGGCACGGGATTACAGGCTGAGCCACCGAGCCTGGCATTACTCTTTCTAACCGGCCTGCTTTGTCCATCAGTCAGTAGTCCCCTGGTGGGCAGGGCTGGGTCCTAGTTATTTTTGTGTCCTTTCTAAATACATATTAACTAGCTCATGGTAGGCACTTCAGTATTTATTCAATGGGTTCATAAACGTCTACTGATTCCAGGCCAGACTCAAGATGAACTTCCTCTGTTGAGATTCCCCTGTAGCCCGGCTCTCCTGGCCCGCTCTGACCTGTAGTGTTTTATCCGTCACTCACTGCCTTATGGAATGTCATGCTCGTGGCTTAGGGCAGTTGCTCACTTGGTAGGCAGGTCCTTTCCTGACTAGAACAGAAGGGTGGGTCCTGGAGGGCAGGACGAGTGGGCCACACAAATCTGTCATGTGGTGCTCTCCTAGTAATGCCTTCTGACCCAGGGCAGCAGGGTAGCAGCTGCTGGGAACTGGGGAGTCCCCGGGGGATGCTGGGGACTTCTGCAGCATCTGATAATTTACATGTACCAGCTTTTATGAGGGTGCTCAGCAAATGTTTGCTAAATGGTGCTGCCACAGAAGGGAGACAGTTCCAAGTTGCTTCAGGCTTGCATTTAATTATTCTGAAGTAACACTCTCTTAAGACTGAGTGGGCTGTGAGTATGACAAAAACAGCTCTGAAGAGCAGCCATTCCAGTCCACCAGGAAGCTCTGGCCATCAGCTTGGGCTGCGTCTCACCACCCCCTTGGGAGGTCTTACCCCCACTGCCGTGTTTCCTCCCATTCATGGAACAGATGGGGCTCATTTTTGCTCAGCAGCTACCAAAGGGCTGACTAGGTCTGGGTAAGAGTTTCTCGTAGGAGGCCTGGGACCGGGCAGCTCGCAGTGGTGCCCCACACAGACGTGCCCTGTGCTCCCCAGCAGGGCCTGGCCTGAAGGCAGGTGGAGCTGGGGCCGCAGGGCAGCAGCACAGATGTGCAGGCTGGGGCCACCCTCGGAATGGGGCAGAGGCAATGGGGAGGGAAGAGGCTGCGGAGATGCCAGAGGACACAGGCTTATGGGTGGCCGGGTGTTTTGTGCACAGGCAAGTCGGGGCTCAGACACAGCCGTAGGCACTGGGATGTGGAGAAAAGTCAGCCTTGCAGCCACCGCTATTTTCTTAGGGTTCAGCTTGGCCATCTCTGAACAGGAAGAAGTCAGAGGATATGGGTGGAACAGCTGGATTTTATAGCTCCTAAAAGTAAGTCATTCAGAACCATGAATTCCTAATCACATCTTCAAGATTAACGAGCACACAGAAGAGTAATGTTAGAAAGTACAATTTCCATAAGAAAGTGGGAGAAAGAATGTATGTGTATCTGCTTATATGTCTCCAGAACACAAACTCTCAAATAAGAAGCGCCCTCTGGGAAGGGAACTGGGTGAATGAGAAACAGACCGGAAGGAGATTGTTCATTGTATGCCTTTTGTTCCTTTTAAACTTTGAAATCACCTGAATGCATTAGGGATCTGTGCACGCATGCACATGCATATGTAAGACACAACACTCAAAGTCCTTGCAGAAACCTGTTTGAAGCAGTAAGCAAATCGAAAAGCTTAGGGTCATGAGAGGTCATTTATGGCTTGCAGAACAAGCTCAGAAAACCATAACACTCAGGACAAATAAATGAGCAAGGAAGGCGGGAGGAGGAGGGAGAGGGAGAGAGGGAGAAAGGGACACTCATTAGTGCACTAAGCTTCTGGTATATGATCCTTGCCCACAGCTCTGCTCAATGGACTCATACCCTCTGGTATCCTGCTAAGCAAACAAAGAAGCCAAGGAAGTCGCTCACCTGGTTATTCTCGAATAATTCCAAGACAAAGGTGATGGCACTGCTGTTGATGCCAATGAACAGATTAGCACAAGACAAAGCCACATAGGCTGTGCTGGGGACATCAAACAGGAAGGACGCTGGGTACATCATGGGAATGATGGCCCACCTGTGAGGAACAACCACAGCTCAGTATGGTGGAGTTCTCTTTCCATTCCACCTGCTGTACCTCTCAATATAATGCACCCCTCGTACATGGGAGGTTACATGCGTGAGCTGGCCATATAATGCACTCCTCGTACATGGGAGGTTACATGCGTGAGCTGACCAGAGCCCCAGGGGCACCAAAGAGATATCCATCCCTTGGTCTCAGTGCCTCGACTTTAAATGGAGATAGTAATGCCTGCCCTGACCACCTTGCAGGGTTCTGTGAGGAGCACATGGGACAGAAGCTGTGTGTGTACTCAAAATTATAATATGCAGGAGGGCCTCTGCCCTGTTGGGTTCCCTCTCTAGCCTGGATCAATAAAACACAGTGAAGGTCCCAGGGAACTCATCTTCTCAGTTCACAGTCATGTTGGTTCCTGAATTCTCTGCTTCCGGGAGAGATGGCAGGAGACCATTGTTCCAGCAAGTCTCTACTGCCCCACACAGGAAGGGCCGGGTATCATTATTTATGTTTTACAGATGGGGAGACTGAGGTCCAGGTGGGTGAACTACTCATCTGTAGTTACACATGTAGCAAATGGCAACCCTGGGATGTAAGGTTGTATGCTGTGCCTGTTGTACTCTGTTGAACTCCCTCCATGCGTCATCCTGTGGCACTGACTCAGGCAATTTTCGGCCAGAATCACCCTGTGTGTGTGTGGATGATTCTTGCCAGTACAGATGGAGATATCGAGATGAACAGATTGGCCACAGATGGATCTGAGTTGAGCAGTGTGAGGAACTGGGGAGTGGCTGGCTCCCAGGCTCTGGTCAAGGCCACGGTTTGAGTGGAAGAAGATTCAAATCATGTGGGGCACCTCTCACTGTCCCTGAATGGACCAGGCATCCGAGATGAGATAATTCCAACGGTGGAGTCAGAAACAAAAGCCCCACTGATTCCTAGGTCACAGCCTAAGACCCTGTCTGGGGCTGGAAGCTAAACTTGTGGATGCCACTGCCATAGGAAAGTCCAGGTTTTCTCTCAGAAGCAAAGTGAGGAGACCTCATGTGGGTGGCAGCTGGAGCAAAGAGAAGGGAGCATCCCATGGGGAGAGGAGGGTGGCAGAGACAGGCACTCGTCCCTGGCTCCCCTTTGGGGCATTAGCTACTCACCCATACAGCATGAGTAGTGCCACAAGGGCAGGAAGGTTTTCTGGAGAAGTGTAGGCTTTCTTCTGAAACCCGATGAAAATGCCCACCACCAGCCCTGCACTCACGGCATAATTCATCTAGAAGAGAGAGAAGGAGAGCCCATCACAACCTCTGCTTCCTGTTCTGCAAAAGGACAGGCAGGACCAGGCTCCTGGCTCTTAGGGTCTGGGGTTCTGATTCTATTTTTCTAAGCAGTTCTTGGTTGGCAAGATGTATGAAATGTCCCCTGATCTCGATCTCTCTTTCTCTTTCTGTCTAGTTGGTCACAAGGTCCTGCCAAGTCTACTTTTTAAGCATATCTCCAGAATTCAGAAAAACCTAAAATACACTTCTTGACTTCCCAAAGCTCAAACAGATGATGGCACTCCCTTTAGACAATTCAGTCCTAAAGCCATTCGACTGGCCATGGTAGGGTTGGAGGAAGAGCCACAGTGGTCTTGCAAGAGCGAGGAAGACACGCCAGGGCGTGCTGCTGGAGTCCAGGGGGATGACGAAGGCATTCTTAGAGGGGGTTGATCTGGTGCAGGGTATCAGAGCAGAGCGGAATGAGGAGGCCCTGCATGCAGCAGGGGCAGGGAGAGGAGGGCGTCCATGTTGGGAGGGGAGGAAGGCAGAGATTCTAGGGTGTTTGTACATACGTGTGCATTGCTCAAGTAGGTGAATGAGTTGGGGGTGGCAGAAGCCAGTTTCTTATTCTTGGAGAAGGGAGTTACAGATACGGAAAGGCAGAAAATAGAATGAGTCCTGTGGTGCTGGTTTTGATGAGCTTGGAGCATTCAGTATACAGAATATACCGAGAAACATAGATGTAAGCATGCATGTGCCTGTGCATGTGCACGGACCTCTTCCCTAGTTCTACCCACTGAGAAGGCCTGGGACCAGGGATACTCCAGAGGCAAGGGACACATCAAGAACCTAGATATTGGTTTCTCAGGGCCATCTACCACCAGCAAGAACCAGGGCTCTTTGGGGAGACAGCTGATTCCAGAGTGGGGGTGGGGGGGTTCAGGGAGAGCCTGGAACATCTTCCTGAGCCCGCGAGCATGGCAGAGCTCAAGTGGGTGGGGATGCAAGTCAACAGGATATGGAAGCCAGCCTGAAGGGTCCCCCACTGGCCACACCGGGGATAATCTGAATATCAAAATAAGTACTGATGGTATCGGATTGTAATCCATTGATTAACACAGGAACTACGACTGCACTCAGATATAGATACATTTATGAAAAAATGGAAAGTTTGATAACAAACAGGATATGTATATACCTCCAAATGACTTCTCCTTCCAATATTTATTAATTATAAGGTGCAAAAGAGTGATTTTATACTGAAGAAGCTCAGCAGACACTCTCTTAAGTGACCAATTGGACCTCATCAGTAACAGGAACACATTGTTAGGATGCAAGGAGAGCCAGCATCCACTCCGTGATTCAGCTGCCAGCGATGTAGGCCCTCATCTAACCTGAGGACATCCGTGGCCCATCATCTACAGAAGTATGAATGCTGTGAGTATTAAGGAAAGACTATGCAGCTGTTCTAGGCTGAAGAACACTAAGAGACAGGACAACGAGATGCCATGTGTGATTCTGACCTAGATCCTTTTCTGTAAGAGGCATTATTGGGTCTGTGGGTGAATCTTGAATGGGATCTGAGGATGAGATGGTGGTGACACATCGGTGCTGGTTTCCTGAAGATGATGGCGTGTTGTGGTTGTATGAGGTGTGTCCTCGTTTATAGAAGGAATGCATCAGAGGTGCTGGTGGCCTGTGTGTGTGTGTGTGTATGTGTGTGTGTGAGAGAGAGAGAGAGAGAGAGAATAATAGAAGAAAGAAGGCGTATCTTGTTGAGAAATTACTTTCAGATGGCTCTGAAAAAAGTTTTGAATTGCACTTACAACTTTTCTTTAAGTCTGCAATTGTTTCAAACTTTAAAAGAGAAACAGATGACACATAAGAAGGTAAGGATTTAAACCATCATATATATGCCACATGAATGGTGTAAACAATGACTGTCTCCTCACTCACATTTACCCGGAGCACGTATCGCCTTATCACCACAGGCTGATGTGGTGCTGAGTTCCAGCATTATCTAGCCTAGGGTTCAGATTCTAGGCCAGCTTGAACATTCTAGAGCATTACTGTGACTTTTCACTTTTCTGCAAATGTAAAACTTTTATAAAATAAAAAAGTGTACTTACCAAAAAAGCCTGACATGATGGTACTTGCCTTTCTTTAATCCTTTATTTAACCTTTTATTATTTAACCTTGCTAGGCTCACCACCCGCCTCAGATGCCCACTCATACTAGCCATATATCTCTCAGTAGGCTCAGAGATCTCTGACTATAGACACACACACACACACACACACACACACACACACACACACGTCAGCTCCAAGTGTAAATTTTATGCTCATCTTAAAAAAAAAGTAGGGCTGAGTGCGGTAGTTCATGGGTATAACCTCAGCACTTTGTGAGGCTGAGGCAGGAGGATCACTTAAGCCCAGAAGATTGAGACCAGTCTGCGTAACATAGCAGGACCCTGTCTGCACAAAAATTTTTTTTTGAGTTGGAGTCTCACTCGGTCGCCCAGACTAGAGTGCAGTGGCCGCTCCCGGCCACCGCTGCCTCGCCTGCTGGGCTGCCGCGATCCTTCCGTCTCAGCCTTCTGAGAAGCCTGAATTACAGGCATGCGCTACCACGCCCGGCTGATTTTTTTATTTATTGTAGAGATGAGGTCTCGCTGCCCAGGCGGGTCTCGAAACCGCAGGCTCAGGCAATCCACTCACCTCAGCTTCCCAAAGGCACAGGATTACAGGCTGAGCCACCGAGCCCAGCCTGCACAAAAAATTTTAAAAAACTAGCCAGGCATGGTAGTGTACCTGCCATCCCAGCTACTCAGGAGGCTGAGGCGGTAGGATTGCTTGAGCCCAAGAGTTTGAAATTATAGTGAGCTATCATTGCATTACTGGACTCCAGCCTGGGCAGCAGAGAGAGACCCTGTCTTTAAAAAAAAAAAAAAAAGAAAAAAGAAAAAAAACCCAGAACTTTAATAAGCTTAATATGTAGCTTTGCATTGCAAGTGGGCCTAGCTCCATTTGTGTTCAAGTTGCAGGGCCAGTGCAGCTCCAGAAAGTGACATTCTTTCCAGGAGAGGCTGGCAGGCCTGACCTATTACTCCCCATGTACCTGCAAGTGGCTTTTCAGGTAGACAGAAGCAAGAGGAAAGAAGTTAGCGACCACTGATGATTTCTGGCTTTGTATTGTGAAGTGATAGCTGCTTAATAAGCTGAGTAAAAGAAATCATGTCTTTGGGAATCCTACCATTTACCACCATTCTCAAGGAAGGCTGTTTGTGTGGCATCCATCATTGGTAGGCTTATCTTATTATCACATGAAGTGGAGGCTCAGTTGGTCTCAGAATGTTGTGATCTTGTTACTCAAGACACCCAGAATAGAGGGGATTGGTGTCATGACACTCCCTGCTACATCGTAACTAGGCCTTTGCCACCCATTCATTTTGGCCCCGTGGCCTGTCACTAGGTATCCGATCCTGACTCCTCCCCGCCCCCACCGACCCCCGTTGTGAGATAAGTGATTGGGTGCTGTTGATTTTATGAGAAATTATCTCTTCATTTTTCCCGAAAGTAGTGGCTAATCTGATAGAGTGAAGCTCTGGTTACTTTGGGAAAGTGAAATAAGGTCACTGGGTAGGATTGCCATATTTGGCAAATAAAAATATAGGATACTCAGTCAAATTTGAATTTCAGATAAGCAACCAGTAATTTTTTTAGTGTAAATAGATCCCATGCAATATTTGACATAGAATATGCTTATACTAGAAATTATTCATTGTTTTTCTGAAATTCAAATTTAACCAGGTGCTCTATATTTATCTGGTGACACTACCACAGGAGCCGCTTTGCCTTTGTTCTTTAGAGGGTGTGGCAGGACTTAAGAAGGGGACGTGGGGTGGAGGACCCCATCGGTTATATTACCTCTTCTGCTCCAGAGAGTCCCAGGAAGGCCAGCCTCACGTCTGTAGCGCTGCAATTATTCTGTGGGCCAGAAGCCCCTTGGTGCAAGACGCAGACCACCCCCATTCAACTGCTCTTAAGTGCACCCCACGCCCTTCCCCAGCTTTGGGCTCCTCGTTCTGTGTTTCTAAGATGTCAAGGGACGGCAGATGCACAAGGCGTTGGGTCCAGTACCTTCCAGCAGCCTGGCAGTGTGAGGATCTTCCCTGCTGTGCCCTCTCTTCAGGGCACACGCGCCACCCTGGGCCCATGAAGGAGGGGAGACGCCATGGGCTGACGCATGACACTCACAATGTCCCAGAGGAAGTTGGTCAGCCAGTAGGTGGTGGGGCTCACTCCGCTGATAAACTGAAGGTGCTTGGCTTTGTTCACCCTCTCCTGGATCAGATAAAGGACAAAGCTGGCTGGGACAAAGGACATGGCGAAGATCACACAGATGGAGACCACGGCATCCACTGAAGTGGTCAGCCTGCAGCAGGACCGGAGACACAGGGAGAGAGAGATGAAGGAGGAGGAGCAGAAGCAGAAGATACACAGTCAGGCCCTGAGGCCCCTGAGCCTCTCCCAGCTACAGCCTCCAGTCTCTCCGCACCCCACCTCCCATCCCTGCTAGCCTGAAGCCTGCCAGGCCACAAAACTCTCCTAATCCAACTCGGTCAAGGTTAAGTGGATCTTTGTGGGTCACCTTTCTGCTTCAGGTGGCCATTTCTGGACAAGCGTTCTTTTTTATCACATTCTGCAATTGTTATGGTATATGGAAATAGATGTTTATATTGATCTCTTGCCCTGCAACACTCTTATTACTAATAATTTGTCTATAGAGTTTCTTGAATTCTCTATGTAGACAGCCATTTGGTCTGTGAAATTTATTTCTTTTGTTAAAAAATAAATGATCTTGTTAAGTCACATTTTCAAGAAGCTTATGGTAATTTGGGGAGATGTTCATAACGTAGATTTAAGTCAAAAGAGAGCCAGGTGTTATTTGGGATATGGCTCCACTCCGGATACATAACAGGTGCCTGGTCAAGGGGCACATGGGGCTGGAAGTCAGGCCTGAACCCTCTGAGTAAGCCATAATCCCTGGTGTGGGCAATGCCCTCCCACAGAAAAGAAACCCTTATAATGCCCACAGAGGTTGCCACTGCCCTGGTGATGACAAATGCCATCATCCATACTACATAGGAAGCTTAGAACCAATGACTGGAAGGATACACCCAAGTGTTTAGAGAAAATACCCCACACAATGTAGGGCTATAGATGATAAGTTCTTAAAACTCACTTTTACAAGCTTTTCCTAATAGACATATGCTGTTGTATAATCACAGAGAGTCTCCTGTTTCATGCTTCATATGAAGAGGCTTGGCAGAAGGTGCCGAGACGTGGGTCGAGTGAGAATTGACACAGGACCGTCCCGGGCCCCAGGGCGTCTAGAGGGAGGCACCAAGGGACCAAGGCCAAGTGATGCACCCAGGGTCACTCAGAGTCTACTGGGATGCCAAACCCAGACCCCACAACCTTCCGGAAGGAGTCTGCACTAATGAAGGGGGTTCCCCAGCCCCTCCCCCGCATGGGTCCGAAGGAGGGTAAATATGCCACAAAATGCACAGGACTGGTGTTTTTGCTTCCTGAAGCTGTGCCCTGGGAACCTATTTTTGTGGGAGGCAGAGGTCTGTTGGCATCTCCAAAGCGTGGCCATCTGAGGGAAGTTCCTGGAATCTAAGACAGTTACTACTGGAGGACTGAAAGATGTCCTGAACTTTGGCAGTTCCTGGCAGTCACTCTGTGTGATGGCAAGGAGAATAACTGTGTGAGCTCCAGGAGCGACCTGTTATCAAGAGCCAAGAGGGACTGGAACCAAGTACAAGCTTGCTTCCTAAGTGAATGTGGGGGAGAAAGAATGGCCGAGCAGCTTGGCACATGAGGCATTTGAAAGTTGTAGTCATAGCACCCAAGGAAACAACACTGCCAGCCCGCCCACCGCTTCATGGTAGAGAACATCTCGGAGCGTCTGAAAAGGGAAGACGGTCACAAGAAAGCCCTGGGCCTCACACTGTGATCTCGGAGAGCTGCTCCTTGGTCAGGTTCAGGGGCTGGCTTATGACGGTGATGCCGTACTCCTCCGGGTTCTTGTCCTGGGGCAGGCTGGCCCGTAGGATGGCGTTGTGGGCCACGTTGAGAAAACTGACCAGGGCATGCCAGCCTTTGTTGTTAAACCACACCTAGAGGGTGAGATGACATCTGAGACTCTGCACTAACAACAGCTGTTTGAAGAAAAACTAGAGGCAGGAAGAACGTGAGGAGGAGGAGGACTGGCAGCAGGAAGATACTCCTGCCAGATTTTGGCAGAAGGGATGGCATCAAATCAAACTTGGAAAAGCAATCAGCTTGAGCAAACGTTTAGCTCTGGGCAGACTACACAGGCCAAGTACCTTAATGTTGTCTTCAGTTTCTAGGTGTTTAAGGAACTCAGACATTTCTTTAGCAGCCTCTCTGGTGACAGGGCCCTAAAATCCACATAAACAAGCAAGAGGGATTTTGTTTTCTGTAGTGCTCATGATAATTTCTAGTTCATGATCATTAGGCAAGTCAAAAATCCCACTCAGTTCTCTAGTGTGTTTACATACCCTGTTCACATTCATGATCTGGCCAAGGTCACTTAAAAAGTCAATGAGAGCTTCCCCCGTGATGGGGATCCGCGGGAGCTTCCCTCCGATGGAAATTCCTCCATACCTGGCAAGGCAATGGGAAACCCTGGGGTCAAGCCACAAGCTTCACGACTGCCATCGGCTCCCTCAGTTTTTGTAAGGAAAAGTATTTTTGAGGGGAATTTCTGAACCGGTGAGCAGCATGGCTCCTCTTTACAAACCAACCTTCAGTTCTTTCCCATGGCTGCCTCCAGGATGAAGTCCAGACCCCCACCCTGCCCTCCTTCTTGTCTGGCCTCCACCCCAGCCAGCTCCATCCCTCCTCATGCCTTCCCTAGAGTGGCACATTCTGACATGTGGAAGTTTGTCCAGAGCTCCGAGAGTCCAGGCTGCCTCTGTGTATCTCGCCTCTGCGATGTGGCTCCCGGGGTGTCTTTCTCCTTCCTGAGCATCTGGCCAATCCATCTCATCCTTCATGCATCACCTTTTGACATCTGCCCTGACTCTCCTCCATGCAAGGATCCCTTTTTGGAATCTCTTCCGGCAACCTGGGACGCACCTTTACCGATTCAGGACTGAGTCCTGTCGTCCCTGCCTCTCAGGGCCCTCTCAGCCCCGCCTGGGTCCAGGCGGGAGATGGCGGGGGCCTCCTGCCCTGGCTTCTTAGCTGGGATCCTACCCTCAAGACCCATCCTCCGCACTGCTCTGGAAGTCCAAAGTGATCGTGCTAAAACAGCAACCTAAGCATGCCACTCTCCGGCTTAAAACTCATCAATGGCAGGAGAAAAGCCAAACTCAGCAGAACAAAATTAATTTGCTTGTTAAGCAAAGCAGAGGTGGAGATCTTTGTTCCTAAGGCCTCCCAAAGTCACCTCACTCCTACTTTCTGCTTCAGCTGAGGCCTACCGTTTCCCTTGAGGGAGTGATTCTAAAAGCCGATTTCATGTGTATGGTCTAGAATCTTCCCAGGAACTCTGTACTCATTCTGGAGGCCAGTTCCTGAGAGAGGCTGGGAGGCAGTTCATTCCTAGAAATCCCCTCAACGAGTCTCCAAACATCTGGAACCACTTGGTCTTAGGATGCCTCAGGAATGGGCTGGGCCAGACCCCCTGGAGCTAAAAGGAGTGGCCAAGGGGTTTCCTCACTGGAATAACTGTGGACGTTTTAGGGCATTTTGGGGGTGAGAATGCTCTGAAACTCCTCGTCAGGGAACACCATCGTCACGTGTGTCCTCCAAGAAGAGACACCATAGAGTGTCTTGGGGTTCAGGATATTCCTAGTCATAATACCCTTCAGTACATGTCTTGTAAATTTCTGAGAACATACAGAACTTCCCATTCATGTGACTTTTTAAGTGTACAATTACTTTAAATGGATCAATCTGAGATTTTAATTTCTTATAAAATAATTTTTAAAAATAAGGTCATTTCTTACCTCTGTTCGTTAACCCAGAATTTGCTCTTTAAGCTGAAAGCCAAAATAAAATCACACAGTGAACACCACAATCACAGCAGTGGCACGAGTGCAAGTACAACTTTCCCCTTCACATTCATTTTGCAGACTGAAGTCTCAGCCTTTGGGGGCCCATGTGCAGCATTTCCTGATGTCCAGGCGGCATGGCAGCTGCCCGCCCAGGGCCTGAGACTGAACATACATGTGGAGAAGGGACTGGTGTCCTCCTCACCGGCTCTCCAAGCCACATCCTGCATGCTGGACTTGTCAGGTCACATGTCAGGTCAGTGTGCCCGATCTGGACCCAGAAAACATGGCCATGGCCTTGTCCGCGTGGAATGAAGGCTGCAGCCCTCATCTCTTCCTCACTGCACAGCGAGACCCTAGTAATCACTTGCTCACTTAAGAGGAATTCTGACTGACTCCACAGCCCGAAGTGAAGCCATTGATGTTCAGACAATCAGGGGCAAAATAACAAGATAAAAATCAGCAGATGCCAACCCTAGACCCTAGAGTTCAGTCCCATGAACCATCATTGTCATTAACCATCAACACAAAAAACCCCAAATCCCATGCTGCAGACGTGCTGCTGAGAGCCAGGTTTGGGGGTGGGGGGTGCTGTTTTATTGCATGCCATGCACTCTACTTGTATTTTGGGACTTGGAGGGCATTCCTTGTTTTCCTAATGGCTTTCACCATCTGTAGTGTGTTCTAGTTAACTCAGTCTGTTCATCCAGGCTTTGGTAGGGGAAACAACAGAATAGGACTACTAAAGTCAGACAGGACGTTTTGCTTTAAAGGCCTAGCATGGTGCAGGCTGGCCACGCCTCCTGAGGACCCATCTCTCCCAGTCTGACAGGGCTGCCGAGGACAGCCAGCCAAGGGTGGGATGGGTGGGGAGTGGGGAGGGATAAGGGGGTGGAG